CACCAACCAACCTACATAAAGGTAATGAATATTAATGACATAACAAAAAATTTACAAATGAAACTGAATTGGTTGTCATAGCATAACAATGACACAGCAAAGAACAACTACTGCAATGAAGAGTTTCTACAATTTTCTCACATCTGTGCTATAGAAGCATAGAGTAACAATGTGTCAAAGTCTTTCCGCTCATGTTCTCCATTTTTCTCATATGATCTCTCTTTATACTGCGACAAAATATTATTATAATTTGACATGGTCCTTACCAGTAAGCCTATATATTCACACAATGCTCCAGAGCAAGCACGTTACCATGTCTGGTGGTTCCCTTTTGGAAAAACAACAAATAGCATCCATCCGTAAATCTTAAATGCATTTTGAAGCGCAGACAAACTACTACAAAGATTACTCAGGTAACTACTATTTCTAAATTGCTCACTCACCGGAATCAGAGTTATTTGAAGCATTGCTCCTACGATTTTATTTTATTGGATTATTTTACAAGTTTTATTAAACTAATTTTAGCTTCATTTAAAACTTAATTCCAAAGGATGTGAATGTCTTTTAATAGCGAGCACTCTGATGAATTAACAGAAGAAAAAAATGCAACTGCTAGCATACAAGAAAATTACCAGCCCACGTCCTGTACTTCGGCACAATGTTGAAGCATCACTGTAACGTTCTTCATTAATTGCATTCTACAGAAAACAGTTAAGATGAATAGCTCCAATTTTAAATGCAAACAGCAACAACTCATGTCAACCTCTATTTTACCTTCAATTGAGACATAATTTCAGCACTAATATCTTTTGATGTTGCTTCTGAAACAGCTAGTTTCAACTTAGCAGCTTCGTGGAAGTCTTCCTTCTCTATTGCATCTTCTAATTGAAACTGTAAATAATAGAAACATTCCAAACATCATGTTAAATAAATGTGTCATGTCAATTGTTTACATGTTCTTACTAATGCCAAACATCACTGCACAAACTAAAAGAACTTTTTTCTAGTTTAATGACTAACATACGCTTATTAAACTTATCGTAGAATTAGTGATGCAGCGCTCAAAGTATATTCGAAGCACAAAAGAAATTAAATTAATTATAGTTTTCTTTATTCAAATTTTTGTAAAATTTGGTTTATTTCCTTATAGTCTTTATTACCTAACTTAGGCTAATTTAAGACCTCTATAAAGAGGGTCATGCTTTGCATGCTAATTATAATTATTTTTTTCAAAACAACAACTGAGAAAGAGAAAACATTTTCTGTTGTATGATGGAGCACAAAGAAAAGAAAGAGTGGGGACTTATTAGTTATAACTCTATACTTGGACTTTGTGGTCAAAAGATTGTGAAAAATGATTCCATGACAAAAAGTTGAGCAATGTGAATTGCCACCCTCATGTTAGTTAAGTGACAATTGTAGCATTGAAAGATTCACACCCCAAACATAATATAAAGAGATGCATGTTGCTCACACCAAAATTCCTTTTTGTTTCCCCTCTTTACTTCCTTAACCCTTCCGTCCTTGATACCATAGCTTTAGAGACACCAAAAAGAGTGTAAAGAGATGCATCATGCATTTGTCTCTGACAACATAATCCATCAATATCAATCAGCTTAAACCTTTGTGGGCATACTTTATTGGACAGTAACAGTTAACGAAATTTAACTTCTCTTTCTACTTTAATCTTTTAGTGCCGACCAAGTAAGGATCCAAAATGCCATTTGAGTATTACCTTGATTTTCGTCATGTTCATAAGTAGTTCAGCAATCCTTACGTGAATTAGAAATTAGTAATTGGTAGCAACTATTTTATCAAATAATTAAGAAACCTAAATTTCTATAAGCGCTTCAACATTTTGCACCCTAGAGCTTTTAATTACGGTTTAATAGGCTACATCTGGAAACCGAGAGAGAGAGAGAGTGAGAGGGTTGAAAGTATAACACATAATTTATATTCTATGTGACTTAAGTTCTGTGGCATTAGCCATCCGTATTCCAGAAACTCATTATTTGATAACAACTTACCAATTTTGCACTCCAGATCAAGATTTGGCACACTAAGAAAAGTCTGAGGACCTTATTAAACATAATATTATCATTAAAACTAGGAATGTACATCATGAAAAACAAACACCCCAGGGTAAGCTATTTGACTAAAAACATTTTCATGACAAGCAAGAACCTATATATTGAAATTTCCCACTAGCATCAACAATCACGCACAAGATATATAAAACCCTTAAAAAAAAAAAATGAGGACACCTGCAGCATAACTTAGATGGCACATTAAAATGTGTTACCTTAAGCGGTATTAGCACCAGGCACAATTTATTGAAAACCACTAGTCCTAACATCAAGATTGAGTGCGCTTATACTTTAATAAATCTTAAATATGTAGCGTACATTCAAATATGGAGTCATCATCAGATATCCATTTAATAAACACCAGGACTGAGGACGATTTTAATAAGAAATTTTGTAACTTCAAGTGCATAAAAATTAAAAGTGACCCTCTACAACAGTATCAGCAATCAGCAAACATACATCAACTCCCAGGTAAATAATCATGGATTAGAACGATTTAGTAAGAAAATTCATATCTTTATAGCAACAACAATCAGGCACAACATATCTTAAAAAATCACAAATACACAAGGACAAAAATATCTTTATGCATGCAAAGATTGAACCTTTAGAACAGAGGCATAACTCTCATCCTGCTCAATCTCAGAAAAATGCCGGGTCCACCTATTCCGATCCTATTCAGCAGATGATGAAGAACAAGTAGAAGAATAAGAACTGTACTCGCTCCTAGTGTTTGTGTTGTAACTATAGTAATCTTGATTGCTGGTGCAGCGGCAAGAAAGTATTGATTTCTTGCTTTTTCTAAAACCCAACTACCTCAG